CCGCCGCTCAAAGCAGGGGCAGCTGTGCGATCAGACCGGGTTGCTCGGAGCTTTATCCGGCTGGGGCTTGGAAACCGCCAAGGGTAACGGCTGTGCGGCCTCGCTGGGCAACGTGGTCTGCTTGGCCGTCCTTGCCGGGAAGCAGCCCGTCCCCGGGCAGCTGCTGGTACTGAGGCTAGCTGGTGGCCTCCCTGGGCAATTCCTAAGGCTGCTGGCAAGTGGGATGGGGACTTGGCTATAAATGGTGCCCTATAAGGGAATGCAGGGTTATTTTTGTAGAAAATAAAATATTATCTTTTTTCTTTTTGACTGTGAACTTACTTGGTGTGCATACGGTAGGCATTTAAATCTGTGTTTGGCAAAGTGTCAAAATGTTTGAGCTGACTGAGGAAAATACTTTCCTGGCAGCACGTCCCCTGCCCTCTGCCTTAATAGCCCAGTTTTGGACTGTCAGTGCTTTTAGTGTCTGCTGAGTATCATCACTTAGTATGAGGTCATTACTGATATATAGTTACAGACTTAGTTTACAAAGAAAGCAGCAAGCTAAATTAAGTAGCTTATTCTGGAATGCATACTGGGCTCTGGAATTCCTGTTCTGGTTTGTTTTCCTAAATAAGATGCGCAATGCTGCCAAATAGCACCTGGGCAGCCAAGACTTGGTTATGTCAGCTAAGAATAAAAGTCCCATTTCAAAAGTTAACTCAACCTAGAGGTTGAAAACTTATGGGAGACCAGGCCTGAGAAATATTAAAAGACCAATAGTGACTGCTAGTTCACTGAAATTGTAATGGTAACAGATGAGAGGAGAAACTTTCTGCACACTGTCTCTTAGAGATGTGACAGACGTACCGCTTACCTGACCTGAAGAGGAAATGTCACAATAGCTTTTTTCTAGTACGTAGTTAAGCTGATGTTTTCTGAGGGATGTTGTTATTGCAGTAAGGCTGCTTCCATGTAAACAGGCAAAAAATTACAACGCTGTATCCCTTTTGTCTCAATCTATTGCTTGGAATTTCTATAGAGACTTCAGGCATGGAGGCTTTATGTTATTTATTAGCTTATTAAAATACAGTCTACTGAGGAACATGAAGAGACTTAGGAAAAGGAATGGACAACTGTAAAAATGCTTCTTTAGCTGAGACTAGCATCTGCAGTCTTATCATGCATTTTACTTGTGTTTTATTCTTGGTTTAATTATATGCTGTGATGCCCATTCTAGTTTTGTGACGTACTGATAATGCTCAGCTTTTATAAAAAATATATATTTTTTCCTGCTTTACAAAGAAGTAAACAACTGGCTTTTTCTGTTTTGTATCAGAAATGCAGTTCTTGTCTTCTGTAGTTTTGCTTGTGCCTGAAAGCTTGCTAAGACCTGTTTGGACCATAGAGGTTATTTTGGATCAGTGGTGTGGGATCAGCTGGTTTGTGTGTTCCAAATCATTTCAATTATTGATGGATACGGAGCCTCGGTGATGCAGGCCGTGTACTAACATGGGCTAATGTGCACCTGAGTGGCTTATGGTATTAACTAAAGCATTTTAGATCTTTCGTATGGAACAGAGTAAATAAGTATGTAACTTCAACTAAGAGTGGGTGGTGGTTACATGTGTTTGTAACAAGTATAGCGATCCTCTTTTGGGACAGGGTAAATATTCTGAGAAAGAGAGTAAGCAACCAAGTAACAGTAGTCTCTTCATCAAAGATAAGTTAAGATGTATTTTTGAAAGCAGGCGCATGATGATCTTGTGCTGAGCAGAAATTCTTTGGGAATAGAGAAGTGAGTAACAAATCAGTTGAACTGACTGTCTGTGGGGTTTGCTTTCTCTCCTGCCCTGCAGATCTGTCCCAGGAAGATGATGATACCTGTAGTGATTATGGGAGTCGTGACAAACCAGGGACCACTTTAGGAAGGACTGTGCCAGATGGGAATGTGCTTTTTCCAGATATTTTTCAAACTGATCATCTTTTGTTTTATGAGCGATTTAAAGCCTACCAGGATTATATTTTGGGTAAGTCACTTTTTAGTCGGAACAGAACACGTAGCCATGTTTCTTGTAGTGACTTTTTACATGATCCAGTTTAAATGGAGGCAATTCTGTATGGCACTGCAAGATCCTGTTAATAATGGGGACTAGAAAAGATCACTAGTACTGACTACCACTTGTCTGGTTATTGTGCCATAACTTCAGCTGCTGTAACTGGAAGACAAGGAGCCAATGGGGTTTTATTGTAAGTAAATCTGAATGGGTGACAGGATAAGGTGTAAATGCTGGATTCTGTGCCTTGTTTTAGATTGTTACAACACACAAAAAAAGAATTTAGTAAGACTCTGTTTAAGTTAAGGCACAACTTACTTAACACCACTGGCACTGTGAAACCTTCAGTACCTGGAAGGTTGAGTACTGGATCTCTCGTTCCTTCCCAGAGGCATAAAACCAGCAACACCTCCCAGTTCTCTCCGTCCTGAGAGACAGCAATAGCACTGGCAGTTAGGAGCAGAGCAGAACGCAGTCCAATTTTAGACATGATAGAGGTATACTTCAACTGTATTGAATTTCATCTTTCAATGATATGGAGGACTTTTCTTTTAGTCCATTAAATGCACTGTCTTCAATTTCTTCTTAGCTGACTGCAAAGCTTCTGAGGTGAAAGAATTCACAGCTGAGTACCTGGAGAAGGTCCTTGAACCATCAGGATGGCAGGCAATCTGGCGCACTAATGTGTTTGAGGTCCTGGTTGAGGTAAACAGAATGCAGATTCTCAGTCATTTGTCTCCAATTAGCATTATTTACCTCCCTGTTAACAGGAACGTTATTTATCTTTAACTAAAGTTTATGAGCTGGTAGAAAATAGTATCCTTTTCCTATCTAGTTGCCGGTGATGTCTACAGCAATAGGCGTTTCTTTCAAAGGCAGCTTTGCTTTGAAGCACAGTGTCTTGTGCCCGGGTATGTTTCCTTAGCCTGAAAACATAGGGTTGGAGCCTGTGATCTGATACGAACACGCACAAGAAGGTGCTGTTACGGTGAGGGACCACTGCTCAAAAACAGCTCTTTAGGGCTATGGCACATAGTACAACTTCAGAAAACCAAGCACTACGTAGACTTTCTATTTTTGGCTTTGTTTCATTGTTTAGCTTTGGAATTTGCTTGCTTGTTGTTTAAAAATTACTTTTGCTATTGAATTATAGTATTGTCAGTGAGCAGATGAATTTTATTTGAGACATAAACCCTAAAATGAAGTGTTGATATCCTTAAAATGAGTAGATCTGTCCATTTCCATTACACTGACGCTGTCAGCCTGTCATCTGCAGTCTTTTGAGCTTAGAATCATTAGCAGGATGCAGACTGCATAAGCGTTGTTTGTGAGATTGGTCCATTGATGCTATTAAAAAAAATACAGCATTTGCTTATGCTTTCTCTGCTTTGCTGCTGGGAAATGCTCCCCAGTTGGTAGAGCACTGCCCAAATCACTCGCCTTTATTTTAGTTTCCCTAGAACAGGGCAAATGATTTTCAACCTCAAAGGGACAATATAGAGCCTATATAGTCTTATGTATGTGAAGGTTACCTGGCGAAAATGTCTCACATGGGCTAATTTCAGGGATGCCCTCTCCAATGTCTGAGCGTTTTGGTGGGAGGACTGTACCTAAATGGCAGCAACCTCTTCAAAGGGGCCCTTGCTGAAACGGGGGAGGAGGAACGCAAAGCCAGTATGAGTTAGCCATGAGGTTAAAACTGCAGGCACAGAGGGAATGACTACCTGGTCCAGCGCTGGATGTTGTCATTTAATTTATTTGAATAACGGGCCCTTCTCTGCCAGTTTATCAGTAAAATTATTCCTTCCAATCCTCTTTGGTATTGACAATAGCTCGTCAATATTGTGTACTCCTGTCAAAAATCTGCTGAGGCTTGCAGGTTTGGGACCCTGCTTTTCAAGGTCCAAGTCATGCTTCTTTGTGCAAACCTGGGATATTAGTTTGAACTTGAACTTTCTCTGCATGTTTGTAGAGAGAAAAACTTTGTAGCCCTTGCAGCATTCAGCACAGTTAGCAGCAACATTTCCATCTGAAGATGAGAAAACACTTCCATGCTGTGAGTGTGGTTGAACACTGGAACAGGTTGTTCAGGGAGGTTGTGGAGTCTCCGTTCTTGGATGTATTCAAAACCTGACTGACATGGTGCTCAGCAACCTGCTCTAGCTGACCCTGCTTGAGCAGAGGGGATGGACCAGATGATCTCACTATTCTGTGAAAGTGGCTTCCACTAGCTCAGACTAGCTCTTTGGTTTGCTTTAGTCTCTTGTGGATACTCTGGAAAATGAGCCTCAGAGGAGTCCATGGGAACTGTGAAGTGTTTATTTGAGTCTGGAGATGCTGCATTTGTCCATTTAAAAAAACAAATAGCAACAACAAAACAAAAGAGGGGAGTAACTTAGTGTCTTTGTATGGCTTTATGAGGGATTTGAACAGTGTTTTGGATGTGGAAAGGGTCCTGTATGTGTGAGTGTGAGAAGCTTAATTTTGGGGTTATCACTTCAGCTGAACAGATTGCCTTTGCTGTACCGTGCAAAGTGCACTGATTTGCGTGGGTCAGCTGGCGCTTACAATAATACCTGCTGAGCTGAACATATCGTTTTAGCCTTCCTCAGCTTTGTCTAGGGCTCTGTCTAGAGGAATCATGAGAGCTGTCTGTTCCAACAGGTGGTTGACGTGGAGTACTCAACTCTGAAAGCAATTGTGCAACTCAGTGAGCCTTTCCTGTGCGAGTCGCAGGTTAGCACCTTTACTTTGGAGTGCATGCGGGAACTCTTGGAGCTGAAGGAGCATCAGATACCACTGCAGGAGCTGTGGGTTGTGTATGATGAGTCGGGAGAGTTTGATCAGACAGCGCTAGCCATAGAGCATGTCAGGTAGGAAAATGCTCAAGGTTTAATTTTTCTTGAACAACTTCTGCGTTTTGGTAGTATACAGTGTTTGGTGCCCTTCTCAAGGAGTTATTGTGGTCATGCTGGCAGCCACACAGGCCTAGCTTTCCAAAGTATATCTGATGCCTGGCACCGTGAGGGCTCCAAGGACTGCTCACATGGAAAACCTGTGGTGTCTTCTGCAGCTACAGGGATGAGGTAGATTTTTCTGGAGCTTACTGCCAGTCTGCTTTCTGTGTCAAAAGGAAAAAAAAGTCTGTTTCTCTTTCCCTCCAGCTTTCCTTGGGCTTTATCACCTTGCTGGCTCTAGTGTAGCGTTCTTTTCTATAACATGTTCTTCGATTTCCCCCCACCCTCTGTCTCATTCCTCCTTTTCCTGCGCTTTGCCTCCTCCCCTAATTTTGTTTGTTCTTCAGGTATCTGTTCACAGCTTACTCTGTTTTCTTTTCCTTCATCATCTCTGTCTCTCCTCCATCTCCCCTACCTTTCATGTACTACACACTGCTTGAAAACTGTTCACAAATAAGCAGTAAGACTGGATCAGAACACTAAACTAGGAAGAACCACCATGCTTCTGCAACTTGGGCAAAGTCTCAGAATTGGTGAATGCAGCAGGAGAAGGGGAGAAGAGTCTTGTTCCGTTGGGAAGCTTTCTTCACGCTATGTTCAGCATTGCTCAGTAGTGGAGCTCTAAGCTTGAAAGATGGATATGATAAACTTGATGTGGGCTCTAAGAACAGCTTAGCTGAAGGATGCATGGCCAAAACCAAAAAGTATTATATCTCAGGTACTTCAGCATCTTAAGAGTGCGAGACTTGTTTTCAAAACCAACTTTTAGATGTTCGGTCTGTTTTGATGATAGTCAGTGGCACTCAGGCTGTTACAAATTTTGAGCTTTAAAAAGACGAAAGAAAATTCTAATTAAATAGCACATGAGAAAGATAACTTTGTCTACTGAACAGTCCACAGGACAGTGACATGGAATTGGAGGGAGGTGATGTTTTGAGCTGAAGTCTTATGATTAAATTCCTATTTCCGGTTCTGTCTCTGCTGAGGTGAATGTGGCCTCCTCAATGTCTGTTTAAATGCTTACTTTGTTTCAAAAGGTTCTTCTACAAGTACATCTGGAGGACTTGGGATGAGGAGGAGGAGGATGATTTTGATTACTTTGTGCGATGTGTTGAGCCTCGACTGAGACTGTAAGTGCAACTTCTTTGACATTAGGTAAAACCACAGGTAAAGGTGATGTGGGAATAGTGACAGACAAATTAACTTCAAAGAAAGCCCTTTATTAATAAATCAGAGCAAGTCTGTTCTAGGAGCAATCACTGTCTGGCACTAAAAATTTTGTGCACAAAGAGAGGGCAGCTGAGGTTGCTGCTTCATTTCTGAACCCACCTGCTTTTCCTTGTAATCCTTAACCTTCCATCAGATGGCGCTCCAAATCCAGCTATAACTTCCTTCAGATTGCATACCCGGTCCCCTTTAAGTACATAAACAATCCTAATTAAGGCAGGCGTGGGATGCTCTGATACCTTGGGGCATGGAGTAAGCATGAGAATGGAGCAGAATGTAAACAAAAACTTGAAAAAATGGTCATGCTGAAGGAGGAATGTGTGTATTTCTTTCTGTAGTGAGATTACTTGGCATTAGGTTTTCTGAAGGTGGGTTTTTAATGCCCTCTAGCCATATGGAACTGAAGCAGTGCACAAGGATGCAATCTGGTTCTATTTTTGAGGGTGCTAAATAACTAAAGCATACCATAAAATATGCCTGGAGTGAGTCATTGAAAAACATTTCCACTGCAAGTTATTCCCTAAGATTTGACATAGTATCTGTTTTTATTATGTCTTTCATGAAAGTTATTGTTTGATTCCTATTCTTTGCATATTATAGCATAGCAAGAGTATCCAGAAGTTTGTCATTCATATCCAGGTCTGATACTGCTATGATGCTGGAGAACTGCATCAGTGAATATTTAGAATTAACTCCTACATGCTATTTAGAATATAGTATTAAATCTCAGGGTGCTTTACAAAGGGAAATAGTATCATTACCCATACAGTAAAGATGACTTTGCGCCTCCCTTTCAAACAAGAGATATGTGACATTTCAGGCCTCTGATATATCTGGGCTTTTCTGAGATCATGCAAATTAGGGATAAATGTTACACGTAGAAATCGCACGAGTTTAGGAAGTGTTTATACTTCTGTGCCCCCAGCAAATGCCTTTTCTGTTGCTGAGTTTTTTGGAGCTTTGTGAAGACTTGTCATGGAACGAAACCAAAGTGCAATCACATGCCAAGAGATAACGTGTGGGTTGTCGTTGTTTGTTTGTTTTTTAAGATAGCATGAAGCCTTACATCGGAATAGAAGCGTTGCTTAGCAAGAATCCAAAATACTTAAACAATGTCTTCAAGCAGAAAATGTTTTCCTTTCTCATTCTTCCATACCAGGCTTGATGTAAAGCCTGTGCTCTAAACTATGCTGATGTTGGTGATGTCATATTAGTGCTTACATCACAACACAGGACAACTCATAAATAACATTCATCTCCAATGTGTGGAGACATAATGATGCTTTAAACTTTTCAGGTCTGTGTTGTGCACTTGTTAAAATCAGAACAGACAGCATCCTTATGCTGCACATCAGCTTGTACTAGTCTTCTGAGGCAAGTAAAGCTGTATGAACTATTTCACCCAAGGTTGAAAAAAATAAGTTATTTTTATGCACGTTCATAGTGATGAGCCCTAAAATGTAGAGTATGCGTTTCAGGGCCAAACTATGTACAACGTTCAGTATCCTTTGAGTATTTTATATGTCTATATTATTAGGAATTCTTTTGCTCTTAGTCATCCTGAATTCACTTATTGTTGCCTCTAGTGACCTGATTCACAAAATTTTGTGAGGCTCTTTTGTGTCTCTGCATACCTTGTTTATCACAACTGCATAAATATTTACTGCTCCAACTCCAGATTGTATTGCTCTTTATAGCATATTTTAAGTGTACACTTTGAAGAACCTCTGAAAGTTGAGGGAACATCTTAGCTGTTATTTCATTTAGCATCCTGAATGGAGCCATTTATGCTGCATTTAAATGCTTTCCCTACAAAAAATGGTGGGAGATAATTAAATCTTGTTTTATTTGTATCGTTAATTGTTATCCAGCTTTTTTGTAGTGACCATGATTGGTACTACATGATTGGCCCTGGAGTTCTTGGCACTATCTAGCTGGCAGATGTCTTCATTTTTCTGACTTTGGCAATGCAACTTCAGGCTGGCATTTTCTGGCCTGCAATTTCCTTTGTACATCCCCCTTGGCATGGTGCAAAATATACTATGCAGTGCTTTCACATCTTCATCCAGTCCTGATACCGTCTTTCTCATTCATCCTGAATAATTTCTTTTTTCTGCCCAGGTGGTAGTTTAGACTGTTGCTAATGGAGATTTCACTTCATAGACTTTTTCTTTTAAGTAGGACATTTCCCCCTCCCCCCCCCCCCCAATAAATGCTTAAAAGTAGACTAATTTATTTTATCTGATTAACTGCTAAATCTTACTACTTTTATAGTTAAACTTGCTCTAAAACCAAAAGTATCTCATCATTGTATGTAATCTTTCAAGGTGGATGGGGAACTCTTTAGAGAGGAATTAGTGTGTTTGTGATTATCTGTGTTTTGGTTTTTTGATATTGCTGTTCTTGGAAAAGTTGAGCAGTGTTGATGCAGACTGAAGACTTTTGACTGAAGTTTTGATCCAGGTTCTCTGTGGGTTTGTACTCAATCCTTTTAAATTGTAAATGAGAAAAATACTGACTCCTGACTCTGAATTGCAGGCATTATGACATCCTTGAACATCGTGTTCCTTCTGGGCTTGTAGCTGATTACCAGAACTTGTTATCTCAATGTGAGGAGCTCTACAGGAAGTTTTTAAATTTGAGGAGCAGCATGTCAAGCAATGATTCGGACTCGGAAGCAGAAAACATTTCCATGGTGGAAGGACTAAAGCTGTATGAGAAGATAGAGCATTTAAAACAAAAGCTAAAACTAATTGAGAATCCTCTTCTGAGGTACTTGATGGGTTTGTGTAAGGAGGAGAGACCATATGGGAAACTATGCAAAAAGTTCTTTCCTGAAAATAGAACTGATGGTTTTGTTGCTCTTGTTTTAGGTATGTGTTTGGTTATCAAAAGTACAGTGGTCTCCAAGCTAAAGGACTGAGAGCAACAGGTACCAAGATCACTCATGTTGTATCCTCAACCGTGATGGCAAGCCTGTTGCAGTCACTGATAAGGGACAAACTTTGTCCTGAATCTTACGGTGAAGAACTAGAAATACAGGTACAGTAACAGTTGTCGTCTGTCCCCTAGTACACTTCTTTTCTCCTAGAAATAACGTGGAAGACTAAGTTCCTTTATCATGTGCCAGATGCTACATTTATGCATTGTTGATTTCAATTAGTAAATTTTGAGTCCAAAAGCATTGCTCTTAATTTAAATGGTAAGTGATAAGACTGGAAGATGCAAAAAAACTTCTTTTGATGCATTTCTTTTGAATGCTCTATACAAACTGTTTCCTTCCTGTATATAGGCAATAATGAAATAAACCTGCTGTAAACATTCCATAACGAAACATGCCGAGAAATGTATAATACTTTTTTTCTATTTAATTTTAAGATTCTTGTATCTTTAGATCATCATTATAATCAGATCAAGGGTTGGACTGGTGTGGATTCCTTGGGGCCAAGTGGAATTGCTTGCTGTGTTCTGGTCAAGTTCGTGAAATACAGATTGGCAGAATGGTGCCAGAGGGAAGGTCCTGGATTGACTTTTGGGCTATAAATCAAGTTTTATGAGTTGGCAGCTGGAAAATCCTCTTACTATGCCTAATCTGGAAATTGCTAAGAGGCAATAAATGTGCAGTCTTCCTGTACTATTCGTTGTCTTTCAGAACAGAATCCCCTAATGATATTTGTGAAGGATGTCAGTACCTCTTTAGGTACTGAAGCCTTTTTTTCAAGAAAAAGGACCATGCAGACCTCGTACTTGCCACTGCAATGTCTGAATTCCATTTTGGAGTAAAGGGTTAGGTCAGTTTTCAGGCCATCTTGAATCTGGTTGCTGAGTTGTCTGCATTTTTATTTATTTATTTTTTTCCTTCTGTCATGTATTTCTCTAGTAATTCAGGGCAAGTCACCTGAGGCGCAATTGAAATGTTTGCCTGGAACCCAGGCATATTGAGGTCCGCTTTCCTGTGCGTATGCTCTTCCGTCTGGCGCTCTGCCCCGATTTCCTCATGGAGCAATAGACATAAACATCAAAGGAATGTTTTAAGGCTGATTGTGTCCAGAAAGAGTGCTGTGATTCTTGAATTCAAAGTAGAAATTGTGTTGTTGGTGCCATTTAAAAAGGGCTTTTTCTAAACAAAAGCAGCAACATTTAATTGAGAAAGAAGCTCTAAGGACATAAATACAATCCATTTTTATAACGTTTTTCAAGATTTGATATTGTTTGTCTTTTATAGTTTCACAGTGATCCACTGGCAGCTGTAAATGCCTGTTATGAAGGAGACACTGTCATCATCTGTCCTGGTCATTATGTTGTAGATGGTGTGTTCTGCATTGCTGATTCAATTGAACTAGAAGGTAGGGGCTTTCTAGCACACAGATTCTTAAAACAGTGTAAACTGAATGTCTTAAAACAAACTAGCTTTGCATCAAGGTTTTCTGTTTGCTTTTTTACTTTTGGGGGAGTCTGGCTGGGGCATTTGCTTTTTTTCTTAAAAGCATTCCTATCTCTGTTTAAGACCCAAGATCATTTCTAATGCAGGGTGGAGTAAGCTGTTTTATTAAACATAGTTATTTCTGCCAATAAACTGCAAATTTTTCTGATGAACAGCAAATCAACTCTTTCCTCCTAACCATTTGTCTGGATAAATCCTGATTTATATAGTTAACAGAAAGGATCCAGCAGAAACATGAGGGACTTGATTTTTAAACTAGCAAGCACAGAAGTCACTCTTGGGACACTTGTGAGGCTTTAGTTATTGGAGCCAGTAACTTCAGGGTACGTGGGAGTGATATCCTTCTAGTTCTGTTCTGCTTATCTTAATCTACTTCAGAGGAATACTCTTAGACTCAATGCTAGTATGGTGCTGGTGAATGCAACATGAAAAAGAGCCAAGTGCTATTGGAATTTAGTTTATGGCACTTCTTGCACGTCGTCTGTGTGTGGAGGGGCTACCAGTGCAAATTTGTGCTGTTACATGAAGTGCATGGGTACAGACGGGAGCTAATGATTTAACATCTGTATTGATTTTGTAGAAACCACATATGTGATAGTTTTGTCTCGCAAAACATTTCCATGCGCTCGGGTTTTAAAAAGAAATATTTTTGCCTTGCTTAGGGTACATTGCTATCTTTTCTCATATTTCTTGAATTCTCCTAGTAATTCCTCTGCTTTAGACATGCACCCTATTCACAGTTTACCAAACAGTTTCAAATCAAGATTACAGCTTGCAATGTAGTAGGCCATATATCACTGTGGGCATTGTGCAGCTGTTCAGACGCTTTAGCAGTATTTTTTTTATCTTGTCAGTTTTTCTTAATGGGAAGATGGCTGGGAGTTTAATTTCCTGCTGTTTGGGCTATATCTTTCTTGCCCTTTCTGTTTTGCAAGCATTGCTTTCTTTCTCAGCCTTCTCTTGTGTATATCTTATTTATATAGCTATGCATGCTGGTAGGCTACACACTTGCTTGCTACAGGACCTCAAACTGCTTTCTTTATCTGCGAGAACGGTATTGTCCTGAAGTTCTGTGGAGAGGTATTTATGACAACTGCTTTTCTAGCTTTGCGGAAACAGTAATACAAATGGTGAAGTAGCACAGCTATTTAAGGATGAGTCTTTCTATTTTAAAGAGCAAGGAATATAAATAAGTATCTTTCATAGGAACCACTCAGATAATGAACGTAAGTCAGGGCATTTAATCTCTTTATACGGATTTCTGTTAGAGGAATTTTTATAGCAGTAGTAGCAGCTGAAAATGTTTGAAGTAGGAGCATCAACAGAAATTTTGCTGGTACTAATCTGAACAGCTGGCAGTTTTGGTAGCTTTCTTGGGATGAAGGGGTGACTCATCAAAGGTATAATGTTGCTTTCCTTAGTAGAGCTTGAATTTTTTCCATTCACTGTCCAAGTCAGTATTAAGGTTGAAAGTATGAGGATTAGTAAGTCAGGGATAAATAACTTGAAAGAACTAAGTAAGATTTAAGCAGTAGCAGCCCGGGAAAATCATGCTAAGGTTTAGCACTTGAGGGAAATGGTGTAGCAAAGGCACCTAAGAACTTCAGTTCTGCTTGTACAATGGGTTGTCTAAGATAGATGGAAACTTGCATCATCAACCTGTGTAGTATCTGTGATGAGTTTTACTGGATGGCAGTTGCCTTTAGCTCCTGTGGAGCTGCTTAGCGCTCAGGCAGGCATATGGTCCTGAGCGGGCTGCATATTGAGCACCACTAGATAGTGGTAAACCTTTCCTTCTCCATGCCTTGCCTTGTCACCAGCTTTCTGCTTGCTGCTACAGCTACTGCTTCAGGGGTTGAATATTAAACAAGCTAATAGCGTGGTTAGAAAATCTCCAGGTAGCCTGTAAGACAGTTATTCCTAAAGCCCTTGCCTTGAGTTGCGCCTCTGTTTCTGTAGTAGTGTGTCGTTCAACTGGATCTGCCATTTGCTCTCCCATTATACTCTCCTATTACATACTAGCAATAAATTGCCCCTTGCCTGCTCTCTAGGGGTGACCATAAATCAGCAGTAGTAGAAAAAGATTTCTAGATAGCTTAGCATATAGAACTATGAGAGTCATGTAAATTGACTTTAAATCTGCTGTCTTTAAAACTTTCTGCCAACTCTTTTTCAAAGGCTTTTCAACCTTTCTATTTGCACATTAAGAGTATTTTATTTATGTACTTGGTTAAAAGCTGGCATCCTGCTCAGGCACTTTTTAGCTGAGTCTGTGCGCATTTTCAGAAAATGACAGGACTCGCGCTTTAGTAGACATTGTATTATTGCTTTCTTTATCATGATTCTTGTCTGTGACAAGCGATAAAAGCTCTACATGCTCATAAATTTCACCATAAGTGGTTGAATGCTGACAACTGTGGATGGCTTAGTAAATCAGTGTTGGCATATGCTTGTGAAAGTTTGTTTTTAATCTGAATTCATCTGGAAGCCCATGTAATGCAGGAACATTAGTTTTGACCCAAGTTTCATTTATACATGGAAGCTGAGTGAATCTTATTAACAGCATGAAGTCTATTGCACCTGCTTTCCTGCATTGTGGTGTTGACTGCTTTTTTCCTCATTTGGAGCTTCTGCCGGCCCTAGGAAACTTCTGTACCCTGAAAGCAGAATGCAAGTGCCCATGTATCACTGGCTACTACACCTCCCTGCTCTCTTGTGACTTTTGGGAGTTGATATCGGGTGTTGGCAAATGAGCGCTCAGTCACCCTTTTGTTCAGCTGCCTAAAGTAACTTTGCATTTTATTATGCGTCCTTCAAGTAAGGTAACTATGATTGCAATATTTTATTTTTGTGCCTGCACCCTAGTACACAGGAGATGTAATAGGTGTGGCCTGACCACTATGTGGAAAATCCCGGTAAGATACCAGGCCTCAAACAGACATTCAAATTAGACACAGAGGGTTAGAACTTAAGTACTGAGCACCTAACTGTTACCTATTATTCTAAACTTGTGTCCTTTACCTCTGCTTTAAGGCTATGGTCTGCCAGATGATATCGTGATAGAAAAGCGAGGGAAAGGAGACAACTTTGTTGACTGTACAGGAGCCAATATAAAGATCTCCAGTTTGAAGCTAGTGCAACATGATGCTGTGGAGGGGATTTTAAGTAAGTATAAAAGTAAAAAGTCTCAAAAGTATCTTAGGGATATAAAGAAAAGAATTGTTGTTGTCACTTAAAAACAATCTCCCCCATCCCCAGCAAGGAAAACCTTAAGATGAATACGACTAGGGCTCCTTTGCAGCAGCGTTCCTGTTTATACCAGAAAAATAGTATGTGTTCAAAGTATTCATAAGGAAATCCATAAAGTAAATTAAGTGGATAAAATTAAAAGACGAAATTTTATCACACTGTAAAAATGCTGTAAGTCCATCCATCTGGGGGAATGGTTTGCCTCTGCGTAGCTGATTCATTTAACAGTGCTGGTTGTCTGTGTATGCAGATGTTCACCATGGGAAAACCATCCTCGAGAACTGTGTATTACAGTGTGAGACTACAGGCATAACAGTACGAACATCAGCTGAGCTCTTAATGAAAAATTCAGATCTGTATGGTGCTAAGGTATGAACAAATTCTTAACTCTGTCTTGATTCCTAAAGTAAAACAAAGGCTTCTGCTGGGAAATAATACAGTCAGTAAAGGGGAGAGAGAACCTTTAGAAGTTTGCTTTAGCCAGCTACATTTTATTGGTTTTAAGAGTGGTCCCAGGGGTCTTTTAGACTCCAATAGTATCTAGTGAAATATCTCATGCTGATTTGTGTGTGATGCTATATGAAAATCACATAGAAACAAGGGACATCTGTGAGATAATGGTTGCTACATTTTTGGATTGAGTCATGTCCTGCAGTACCTTTAAAATGATTTCCTGTTTTTCTGCCCATAAATCTCTCTGTTTTTCAGTAAACTGGGTATCTATTCTGCAAAGGAACTGCCCCTTTTCAAACAAATTTGTGTTTATCATCCTTCTGTTAAGGATCAATGGATAAGATGAACTCTGATTAGAACATTTCAAAGAAAGATGGGGCTTTGAGTGTTGAGGTCGATGACTAAAGAGCAAGAAAATGGTGCAAGGCTGTGCAGTTACTCTTCACCAGAGCTTTTATTGAGTGGTGGCAATAGTGTTGACCATGGGGCCTTCAATCTTGGGTGTGTGCTGCTTGTGCTAGTTAATAAAGCCCTGAAGCTGGAGCGGTAACACAATTTTACGTTCTACAACTGGTAGATGAGCATGAAGATCCAAAACTGAGTTGTCAAATTATGTTGAAAGTGTGCCTGAACGCTATCTGTGCACTGCCAATAACTTTATCTTGCAGGGTGCCGGTGTGGAAATATATCCAGGCAGTACGTGTGCCCTGTTAGACAACGGCATACACCACTGCAAGGAGGGAATCCTTATAAAGGTCAGTTCAAGGCAGACTGTGCTTGCTGAAAGTTTACAGTTGCTAAGGCTGATGCAAATAACTTGTGTTTAGATTGCCTTGTAATCTTGCTGCCCTCATGGTAGAACTCATATCTGTCCGGTATGATGATGATGGTGCTTTTTGTTTGCCTTAATTTGGTACACCAAAGCAATATACTTGCTTTATTCCTTATCTGTCAGAAGTAAAATGCCTTTTGCAACGTTGCTTGCATAGGCAAGTAAGAAAATTCTAGCCAATATAGGGAACTGACTATCTAAAACTGCAATAGTTTGCATTCCTTTAGATGGATATAACGCATTGAGTTTGTTTCTTTGCTGTAGAACTTCTTAGATGAGAATTATGACATCCCCAAGATAACCATGGTCAATAACATGATTCATAATAATGAAGGATATGGAGTGGTCCTGGTTAAACCAGCAATCCCATCTGATGTAAGGGATGTTTCAGCAGAGAAAAGAGAAGGTATGTTTCTCTGACTTCTTATCACGAACTCCTAAACTAGTAAATCTAGTGTATCCAGGGGTTTGGATTGCATAATTCATAAGAAGGTCTCTTAAATTTTCTAATAATGTCTAGATTGATTTAGACAAAATATATCTTCAAAACTTTCAGAATTCTGGAGTTTCCTGAATGATTAACTTGCTGCAGGGAAATGCTGTGAATGTCTGTTCACCATGCTGCGAATGCACTTCTGTTTTAAGGTCCTTAAATACCTGTGTTTCCTAATAAGCAGAGCCTGCATGGTTGATGGCCTCATTGGGTTATACAGAAACACAACAGAACGATCAGCAAGAAATCAGATATGGCTTCTTATACAGGTCTTCTGGTTCATAGTAGTTCCCTACTTGTCTTTTTTTTTGTGCACCAGAGCTGAGACGTGCTGTGTTTTACTCAGCCTGCCACTGCAGAAATTGTTCCCTGCCGTATATAAAATGTGACAATTGTATTTCCCATATTATGTCTTACTCGAGAAGACCTGTCATGCTCTCAAGTGCAATGTGCAAGCCACAGTAGTTTTCTTCAATGTGCTTCGCTATCAATTGGCCAATTGAAGTCATCTCAGAATTAAAGAAACTTTTTCCTTAAACATCATATGCTGTATTTGGAATGTGTGCCTGTCGTTGAATAGTTTCCAGAAAGTGTATGGAATGAGGAGAAAATGTTAAGACTGAAAAAACTTAATTCCAAGGTTTTAACTGATGTGACTGTTTTGCATGATCGGTGATAACATTCTCACTGTTTCCTGACTAAGGGAGTACACAGCCTCACCCAGGCAGTGAGAGAGCCTGTGGAGAGGGCTTCAGACATGAAGAACTACCTGAATGTGTAACTGATGAATTGGAGCTTTACGAGCAAGCTGAGATTTCTGAACAAACTGAAAGCAATTATGAAATTGCAAATGAACTTGGTGCTACTTCCGCAAAGAAGAGCCAGATGCGCAAGAAAAGGCTGAGTGAACTGGGAATCACAGAAGCTGATGACAACTTAATGTCACAGGAAATGTTTGTTTCTATTGTGGGCAATCAGTTCAAATGGAATGGGAAAGGGAGTTTTGGTACCTTCCTCTTCTGACTGTCCTGACTTAATGGCATTGCAGTAAAAGATTTGCACAAACTATTAATTTCACTGCTGCTTTCCAAGAAGCTGGCCTGTTTCATCTGCCTTCCATTATGTTACTAAAATGTGATAAATATTTATTAACAGTTTAAATATTGCATGTGGAAATTTTGCTTCCTTCCTGCAAATATGGAAAACATGGTAGAAAACAGAACTTGAACATGGAAACCTTGCATGGAGTCCACTAATCCTCATGCTTGTTCTTTGCTGGCTGATTAATTTTTTTAGTGTATTTATTGAACTTCTAATTGTTAAGTGGACAAAAAAAGTACAGCATTAATGGTACCTCTCCCTCTATTAAGCACAGATAACCTGCAGCTGATTTCTCTATACAATTGACTGAATTTTTCATGTTGTATATTAAACAGAAGCTAATGAAATGCTCTTCCTTAGGAAATGTAGTGCTTGGCTGCCATGTTTTATATTCAAAGGATTTTCTAGAAACTCTAGCGCCTGAAAAGGTAGGATCATTCTGACTGTCTTCATATGCCACGTGTTGACTTCCAGCAGCTAACAATGTCAGTGCATGTTTTCTGTAGGGAGTACAGTGTTTAACTGAATTCCATTTGTCTGAATAAAGAGAAATCAAAGTAAATGTGTTTCTCGTTATTAGTGGTATCCCTGCTGCACCTTTTGGTGCTTTTAAACATTTTTAAAATTGTTATGCTACTAGTAGCAGCAGATGGAGGTCTCCGAACTGAATGGAAAGCTTTAAAAACCCAACTTTCCACTGAAATTTTGTGTCAGGCTATAGCTGTGGAACAGAGGCACTTGAGTGGCTCACCCTTGTGTATTATTAACCTTTACTTGAGGGAAAAATTGGATGGACTGGCTGACTGACGACTTTCCTTCTCAGTGCCTCTCTGATTTTTTTTTTTAATTAAAATCCTCATGCCTTCTTCAAATTTTTTATCATCAAGATACTCAGATCAATTTTTCAACTGGTATGTGAAATGTATGTAAGAAAATGTGAACTTCTAGGTGATCCAGGTTGTCCTACAAGACAAAAAAATAAAATATGGTATTTAGAAAGGAAAAGCATGTTGACAGCAGTGGACTACAGAATAGCTTCTGAAAGTGGCTTAGCACCGTGTATGCCCCATTAGAAATGCATCGGTTGCCAGGAGTGGATGCGAATTTTCTGCTCAAGACCTTATACCCCAGCCATTCTTAAAATGAGATGAGAATCAAAATTCAGTTAAATACATGATCTGTTTTAGTGTAAGCAGTTGATAATGAGGAAAAGAGAAAGATGTAACTTATAAGCGTTTGCTTCTTCATATTGTATGTGAACTGTAGAGAATTCATTGCAGCTTTCCTTTCCTCTCCCCTTCACTCCCCCACCCCTTCCCCCCTTCTCCCCCTTCCTCCTCAGGACACTTGACTTCAGGACTGAACTTCAAATTTTCATAAGCCTGAATGTGACTACAACACTTCAAGATGCACACACTCATGAATGTCTGCCATTCCGTGACTACAGAGAAACACTTGAGTCAAGTGAAAGCCTAATGCTAAGGCTGGCCGTAGTTCAGTGTCTTAAGCTATTCATCAGATCATACACTGTGTTTCATGCTTTGGTGTTATGCCTTTCTTCCCTGATATGTAATCCTTATTAAAGGAGTGGGGCTAAAAGTTTTAATTTTGTGATTCTTTCCTCTTGTCTTTTCAGAACTAATTTTCTTGAGTGAGTTGCTTTTGTGGCATTTCTTTCTCTTGCACTTCACTTTAAAGCTGGCTTCTCTCTTGACAGTATCTTATCTCCCTTTTTTAAATTCAATTTTAAATTTATGAAAGTACGAATTACAACATTCCTCTTCATCTGCTTTTAATACTGCCACTATTTTGCCTTTTTCTGTGCCAGATGCCAATGGTGACTCTATTGCGTGCAAGTTGTCAGTTGTCAGTAGGTGTGGGAGCAGAATGTGGAAAGAGGAGGCTGCTATGAAACTTCTAGCTATTCCGTCAAGCAGGAATTCTATTGTAAAATTATTTAGCTTGAACAAGTTGGAGTGTTTGGGTTTTCTTGATTTACTAACTGCTGCTCACCATCCCCAAAGGTACTACAGAAATAGAAGGTAATTTATTAATGCAACAGCTGAGATCATCTGGTCCAACACCCCTACTCAAGCAGGGTCCACTAGAGCAGGTTGCCCAGCACCTTGTCTAGATGGCTTTTGAATATCTCCAAGGATGGAGACTCCCCAACCTCTCTGGGCAGCCTGTTCCAGTGTTCAACCACCTCACAGTAAAAAAGTGTTGTCTTGTGTTCAAGTGGAATTTCCTGTATTTCAGTTTGCACCCGGTGCCTCTCGTCCTGTCACAGGGCATCACTGAGAAGAGTCTGGTTCTGTCCTCTCTGTATCCTCCCTTCAGGTATTTATACACATTAACAAGATCCCCCTGAGCTTTCTCTTCTCTGGGATGAACAGTCGCAACTCTCAGCCTCTGCTCATATGTCAGGTTCTCCAGTCCCTTAATTGTCTTTGTGGCCCTTTGCTGGACCTGCGCCAGTAACTCCAGTTGTACTGTGGAGCTCAGGATTGGATAGTGTGCTACAGATATGGCTTTACCACTGCTGAGTAGAGGTACTGATACTGGCTATGGCTATTACATTTTCCAGAAGAAATAGCTGGCACCATTCTACTTCATTTTTTGTCACTAATGCTACGCAAGGATACAAGATGCTCAGTCTTTGTGTCAATTTGAGCTTATTGCAGTAGCAGGATGTTGACTCAGTTGCAGGATCCGTAAGTAGAAATAAAATTTCCAAAGAAAGTAACTGTTTCTGAAATAATATTTTAATGTTTGCAGCTATAACAATCTCAAAATTTTTGTGTCATTTCAGCTGCTATATCTTTTTAATCTTTTTCATTGGTAACAAAGAGATTCAGGAAATGATCTCGTCCTGATTTTGTTTTTATGTCTTAGCATGCTCAACAGTGAAATAAATACTATTTTTAGATGAAACAGTTAAATTAGAATTTTGGCTTTTCATTGCAGTACGTGTATTAAATTTGCAGCACATGTTTTCCTTAGCCTTTCTTAAATCTATCAGCAGGGAAAAGTTACCAATGCTCTCTGCAGCAGGAGCAACATGCATTTCAAAAGCTTTCCTTCTAAATTCAATTGTCATCTCTCTTTTAGAATAATTGCTTTAAATTGCACTGTAATTCCATGTTATACTGAGTCAATGGCTGTAATTTTTTTCCTAGATGCAAAATGCATGGGTCCAAAACTGAGAGTATTCTGTAATTGGTAAGGCGTGACTATGTTCTCTATGTTAAACTAAGAAAAAGATTGTACTACAGTAAGAGCTGCGATTTAAAGCCCTTTCCTAAGAGAAAGTTGATACCAAATTATGTTATGTAAGCGTCTAAGCCATGTGATTCCTCTTTATGTTTCCATTCAGTAGGTAATACAACCATTTGGGAAATCCTGGTTTCAGCACTGACTGAAGTGGTGAAAATGTTTTCCTAGTTAGAATATTTAAACGTTGTTATTGGGTAACTTGTCTGGCTAGGAAATGACATAAAAGATCTCTTAAAAATGAATAAATCCTACTTTGTCTCCTTGAATGCAGTTCTGCAAGTGAGCAACAGTTCCGCTGAGAAAGTGTTTTTCATGAGATAGGATCCAGATCAGACCACAGCATGGGACCAGACTCCATATCCTATCTATGAAAAAAAGCATGTGATGAAAACTCAGCTGAATAAAATTAACTTCTGGAGCACAGAAAAAAGTTACTGTATGATGATGACTAATCCAAGAGCCGGTTAGAGGAGGAATTAATGCTGCAAGGTGCCAGTTTCTTATCCTAAGATGAAAGAATACTGAAATAAATCTAACTTTTGCCTTTTATTATGTGAAATTAGATGATAGGATGTCTATGTATCTCATCAAAGTGATAATTAAGTACTACATTGTAGTAGGGTTGCCAGGAGCAGCATGTTGTTGTGTGTCAGAAAAGATTTTTTTCCAGTGCAAAGGAATTCTGCCAGCTGGCTGGAGGGGGTTTTAGTGGAACATTTTGCCTCATATTCTGCTAAAACTAATTAGTGTAGGCTTTTGTTTGCAAACATGGAGTTTCTTAGTAACATGCTGAGGGTTAAAATACAGGAAATGTACTAAAACTGGCAGTTTTTCATGTTTTTATAGTCTAGACTTAGCTTGTGTGTGGTGCAATTTGAAGGAGTGGTGTGCAAATTTTTTGCTTTGCTCTACTTATTGATAAAGTAAAAGTGCCATTTACAAAATTTCTGAGAACAAGTAATTCTTCAACGCATTTGTTTAAAATTATTGTCTGATAAAAAGCTTTCTTTTAACAAATAGGTCTGTAAATTATATTAAAAATGCTGGTAGCAACTGGAGTTTAGAGATCATATGTTCTGAGCTGTTAAGTTTTGAAGTACCTATTGTTCTGGATTATCTAGCTACTTTCTAATAGAAGATCTGCTTTGTTTTTGAGGCTGGATTGTGATTTCTTAAGAACGTTTTGGTGTATCTGTAAGTCTAATTGTTATAGTAATATATGAACTAGTTAAGGGAGTACAGGAGCGTTTGCGGTAATACAGACAGAAGGTGCCGATCGATACCTACAAGAAGGTAAGAAGGGCAGGAGCTAGCTATGAGCCTGTTCTTACACCTATGAACAAACCACCTAGCAAACCAGCAGTAAATCCTATGCGATCCCTGCCTCCTCTATGGTTAGGTGTGAGTGTAGTGATGTGAGAAGGAATTTTATAGACTATATGTGCTGTTGCAAAGACTGAAAACGTGGAAGTTTGAGCCAAAGGCTGAGGAACAGGCCTAAGGAATGGTCTGTCTGGATGATCCCCTAGAGCTTGACTCCCGCAGCAAGCAGAAATTGGTGAGAGCCCAGAGGCAGAAAGCTTTCTTGACTGATGACTGTGTGGGCAATCAAATGTACGTTTACAGCTCCTGCTGATTTGCCTAATGTTGATATACTACAAAGGGAGGATAAAGCCATAGCCAGGGTAGTTGCGGCAGTTTAGTTGTCATTAACTGCTTCAGTACCCTATGCCATAGATTGATTTTGTAGCTGACGTTGATCTCTGTGCTACATGGCTACATGCTTATAGGTATCTGAGTTAGCAGTTTTGAAGCTGCAGATATGCTTTCAGGGTAGATGCCACAGTGATACTCAGACTATAAATACAGCTAATTGTGGCCATTAAAAAGCAAATGTCACAGATGAAGATGTTAGAGCTGTTTCTAAATAAACCTCTGCCAAGCAAGAGCAGCAGAAGAATGTTAAAATACTTCTTGTTGTCATCTTAGTGCTGTGTGGCTTCAAACTGCATTTTTAATGGCACCCCTCTGACTTCAACTTTCCCTTTTTATTAAAAATCATACCCAGGGAGGATAACAGTTATCCCAAATTGGGATTTTGTAATTAAAAAACAAAGCTTCAGCTGGAACTGCAGGTAGAACACAATTACGAAATGTTATTGCACTGGCCTCATTCATGGGAAAAAACTGATTACATTCTGTGACTGAGCAATCTCAGTTTAGATAACACCTGTTGGATTTTTTTTTTTTTAAATTAAAAGGGGTGGAGGAAGGAAGATAGAGAAGGCTACTAATTCTGATGACTTGCTGGATAGGATAGAAGTTAACCACTGCATTAATCCATTGAGAGAGAGAAAATAAAAAGGAAATAGAGGGAAGTGAGGTTAATGTGTATTTCTGATAGATACCATTTCAGTCCAGCACCTAACATCAGCGTCTGAGCATCTGTAATATTACAAAAGCCTCTGGAACATGAAGCTCACATCATCAAGATGCATAGCAGGCCAGATCTTGCTAGATATTGAGGAGATGCAACACTGCAGTTTTCAATGTCACGTGGGCGGGGGAGAGG